TGTGTTTTCTTAATTGCTGTTCCCTGTTGCTGAATTAACTAGGAAAATGTCATCATATCCTGCACCTCATGGACCCCATAATAACATGCTTAATGTATTCATGAATGTTTTGGAAAGAGAAAAAAGAATTTTTGTAAGCAATGTGTCTCATTCTTATCTGGATAAATCATTTTGCCTTCCAAGCAGTTCATTTTCTTGTAATTGAAGCTCTGTTGGTAATATTTTTTGATGTTCTTTTGGCTGTCAGGTCATAAAAGCAATAGAAGAAGGTTATCGTTTACCAGCACCCATGGACTGCCCAGCTGGTCTTCACCAGTTAATGCTGGATTGTTGGCAGAAAGAACGGGCAGAGCGGCCAAAGTTTGAGCAGATAGTCGGAATTCTAGACAAAATGATTCGAAACCCAAGTAGTCTGAAAACACCCCTGGGAACTTGTAGTAGGTAAGAAATCTCCAGTGAGATGGAACTGAATTAAAGGAAAGTATCCACATAAACCATTTGCCTCCTCAGCTTCACTCCAATAGCAAACTGAGGTCTGTGTCCAACCATAAATCCATACTAAAATGTTGTGTTCACAAAGCATTATTAGCCTTTTCTTTTTCAGATGGTTTACCTTAGTTTGTATTTAAAGAAATCCATTCAATGTTATTGGGCTTCCCTTTTCTTAGGACTAAACAACAGATGTCATTCTCAGAAAATCTGTGCTGCTAGAATTTGTGACCAGGCCAGGGGACATGATTTCAGGCCTGCGTTTTTATCTAGCTTTTATCATGTGTTTCTAGTTTTGGCATATTCTTACATTCTAATTTATCATATTGCTTTGTTTTTTATGTAAATGCCTCTGTAGAATTAGAAATTATAAAAAATAACTCATATATGCTATGTTGCACACCCATTACGAGCAAGTCCCTTCACTCATAGCAGAGCACACTGCAAGGCATTTTCAGCTTCAGCTGCAGGTAAGCTTGCTGCTATGGGCTGCACTCGCAAGGGTCTATTATCACCATGGAACTCCTAGTATGTCATCAAAGCAGAGAATTTTGAATGCTCCCAGTAGCACCTCATGGCCTGGGTAAGTTAGGATACAGAAAGATATACTTCCTTTACTCTCAGTTACTTGTAAAAAAGCCAGTGAACAAATATGACTGTCCCAAGCATCATCACCTATACAGTGTTTATGAGCATGTGGCAGACATTTCCCAGTGAGCACGCTTATAATTAAATGTTAAATTCAGGTATTTGTTGTTTCCGGATAAGTTATCTGGTTTTGGTTCTTATATAGATCAGTTAAAACATCTGGCTTAATTTCCTGTATCCCCCCTCCCTTTTTTTATGTACCAAGGCATCCTTTCTTTGGTAATTTCTGAGAATATTTTTCTCTGTGTTCTATTCTTACCTAGGCCCATAAGCCCTCTTCTGGATCAGAGCACTCCTGACTTCACTGCCTTTTGTTCAGTTGGAGAATGGTTGCAAGCTATTAAGATGGAAAGGTATAAGGATAACTTCACCGCAGCAGGTTATAACTCACTTGAGTCGGTGGCCAGGATGACTATTGAGTAAGTTTAAACTTGTTAAATTGTATGTAAAAATTGATTAATTATAATCCACAATTCCTATGCTAGGTTATCCTGTTTATAGTAAAGGGCTATAGATTACAAGATCAGAAGGAAAGGGCATTTGTTTTAAAAAAGCTTATATGTCAATATTGCTTTAAAATAAATTCTTTACCAACCAGGTCATGAAATCAGTTGTCACATGTTAATTTTCTAAATGATAAAGGTAAAGGCCAGAAAATTTAAATATCCCTTACAGTGACTCAACAGGAATTTGATATATAATTTGTCTCCATGCCAGCATTCTGGGCCCTGCACAGTGGGGCTTTTTCCTTATTAAGCACTGTATCATTCAGCTTCCTATTCACTGGGGAGTATTTCTGCAATCAGCTTTAAAATTACTATGAACCTGAAGTCAAAAGAACTGAGTTTTCTGTTCCAGTTTGTCACTGATTAAATGGTCTTCGGAGCTCTCCAGAAGACCTGTCAGCCTAGCAATCAAATGTTTTTTCTGTAAACCTCATGCATGTGACATGCGACATGCATGTGATGTGAGCATAAGCATACCCACACTGTCCCTCCCATTTTCTTTGAACTTCCATATGGATAAAGCTGACATGTTTATACATGGATTTCCAAAGTAATCTATATTTCTATAAATATGTGCTTTTGAAAGAACCTGCCCTACAATAAATAATAATGTATCATTGTAATGTTTCAGCTACTTGTAAATATCTAAGCTCAACGTTTCTAGCAATTGGGAACGAAAAAGTATAAAAATAGTAACAACTATTTTCTGCACATTTAAACTGTGACTGTAGCATTGTACATATATGCAACAGTTTTGTTCTTACTATTGAATGAAGGAAAGCAATTGCACGGCTAGGAATACATGCTCAGAATTTCTCACATATTCCACTGTGTATTTCTGTGTAACAGTGGTTCCTGTGCTTTATACAAGGTTCCAGCAAATATTTCCATTACCAGAACACCCCATTTTTATAGTTAAATAATTTAAAGCGTTCAAAATTTCAAGTAACATTTGATTACCTTTTAAATTGGTGATAACATTTCAAGGTTGAAACAATTTTTTATATAAAATTTTAGATTAGTTAAAAAGCAACAGTACAGTAAATTAAAAGATGCACCTGTTAATACAATTTTTCAAAGGAAACTGTCCAAACAGGTCACCGTATGATCTTTGGAGTAGGATTACAGTACCCAAGAATACCGTTAGTGTCTGTTAGCCTAATGTATACAAAAAGCTTTATTGATAGTTGAACACTTAACACGGTTATCAGTTCTTCCTAATATGTCTAATGAGCATACCCTTGTCTTTTTCAGTGATGTGATGAGTTTAGGGATCACACTGGTTGGCCATCAAAAGAAGATCATGAGCAGCATCCAGACTATGCGAGCGCAAATGCTGCATTTACATGGAACAGGCATCCAAGTGTGACATGTAGTTCTCCCTCATATGGGGTTTGTGACTGCAGGAGAACAGCTCTGGCCTTCAGTATATGCATAGAATGCTGCTAGAAGACAGTTGATATACTGAATCCTTCCTACAATAAAGAGAAGACTTCAGAAGCACCTACAGACTTGAACTCCTAAGTGCCACCAGAATATAAAAAAAGGGAATTTAGGATCCACCACTGGTGGCCAGGAACACAGCAGTGACAATAAACAAAGTACTACCTGAAAAACATCCCAACACCTTGAGCTCTCGAACCTCCTTTTTATCTTATAGACTTTTTAAAATGTACATAAAGAATTTAAGAAAGAATATATTTGTCAAATAAAATCATGATCTTATTGTTAAAATCAATGAAATATTTTCCTTAAATATGTGATTTCAGGCTATTCTTTTCCAGAACCATCTGTGTTTATTCTGCATAAAGACTTTGTTTTAGAAAGTTATTTGTAACTTTGGACCTTTTTAGTGTTAAATTTATGACACGTTACTACACTGGGTACCTTTGAAAGAATCTCAAACTTAAAAACAAAACTACGCACATAGTTGAGGATATGACTTTGTCATTCATGGCTTTGGTATCCTTGCTGTGTCATTTTGTTCTGTTTATAACCAGTGATGTTTTCATTTTGTTTGCTGATTGGCAGGTAGTTCAGAATTGCAAGTTGCCAAGAGCTCTGATATTTTTTAACAGGACTTTTTTCTTTAATCAGACAACCTACTAACTTTTCAATGAAAACAAAAAGCAATAATGATCCATAAATACTATAAGGCACTTTTAACAGATTGTTTATAGAGTGATTTACTAGACAGAATTTAATAAAAAATGTCAAATTTTAGGTTTATGTGTAGATGATAAAAGGCTGAGACTTTATCTGCAGGTGCTGGTGCTGGCAGGTCTGCAGGCAGGAGTTCTCCAGCCTTAGTGAAAACCTGGTCTGAGCACACCAAGAGTTTTTAGTCTTGTGACATTAAGAAATTTAGGAGTAATAGTTGACTTATATTTTGTATTCTTTCTTGTTGAATGCAGTCCAAATACAAAAGTAAAGAATTCAGTTTTTTATTGTTCCTCTGAAGCAAGATCAAAGGAGCAGTTCACATCTCACTACTCAAAGACAAATTTGCCACAGAAACCATCAGTGAGAAGCAAAGCAAAACAGGTATTTTATCTATGAACACACACACACACACACACACACACACACACACACACACACACACACACAAACACACACACAGAACTCTTAGATCAAAACTCTTTTACCACAGAAGGAAGAAGTAAAGGGTCTGGCTTTTCTGTTTCCACTTATTTATTAAACCATATTATTTGGTTACTGTGTTAGAATTTCATAAGCAATAATTAAATGTGTCTTTATAGATATTTCAGGAATGTATACATATTTGAGTAATGTTTTCAAAAGTTACAGAAATCATGAACTACCCCAAACCGAACTGTTGTACTTCCAAAGAAAATTGGGCTGTTTATAATGATTTTAATAGAGAAAGATCCCAGG